AGACGACTACTTGGTCTGATACTATTGGTTACTTTTGTATTAACACAAAGGTAATTGTGCATTTATTTAGAAATTTATAGTGAGCCACCATTTTTATAGAGTGACATGTCCAAAAACAAATATATCCTTTTATTTTTATTTGAAACTGTTAAATAAACTTTATAATGAATTAGGTGAATAAAAAACATCATTTGATTTATAGTTATAACAAAAAATCATTGTTTGTAAAATGAAATGCATAGAGTCTATGTGAAATGATCATTGGTCAATTATATTAATTATTTCATAATTTGGTTTTCTTTTAACAGTAATTTTAGATTTTCTATAAAATGATATTCCAGGGCCCAAAAGGTAATATGGCATAAATATGTGAAGTATACCTGCAGTATGGAAACAGTACAACAAAATGGCCGTTTTACACTTTTTTCTAGTAAATTCCCCTCTAATATATATTCTATTCTCTATGATTCTATCCTCAAAAACCCTTATATAATTGAATAAATAAATATTTTATTAGGCACATGTAAATACATATACAAGGGTTAAAAACACATTGATGAATTCTATGATTTTTACAGTGCCGGGAAACCCGGAGAGCTCAATGTCTAGTCCAGGTCCCTGAAAACTTAAGATTTATGCGGCGTATGATACGTTAAAAGGTAAATAAAAAAATGAAGGAGAGGTGAATATTTGTGTTAGGGTTCTGTGTAGGTCCGAGAGCTTTGTTATACATTTTTAACAGATTACTTTTTCAGGATTTACGGAAATAAATATCTTTATTAATGCTTAGGATCCAGCTCCATCGGATCCGCAAAAATATGCGGATCCACGAATCAGGATCTAAGAGTAAAAAATCGACAGAATTAACAAAAATTTGTAAAAAATAATCATTTGTTCTCAAAACCCCAATCTGAACTGCTTAAAAAAGGGGAAAAATAATTTTAAAATTTTTCCTTTGTTATAAAATCAGTAAGTATTAAAAAAATGTTCATTTATTCTTTTTAGATTTTTTAATTCGTCTCTAAAATCCCTAAACTATCTAATATGACAACCTGTATTTGGTTTATACTTAAACAATCTTTAAGAAACATAAAATAACTTTTGTATAATTTGAAACAAACTTTCTCTAAATATCATGAAACACTTTTTTATCCTAACATGACTAAAATAAACAGGAAAATTATTTTAAGCATCTCTGTTTCCTCATTCATTTTTAAACTGAATTTTAATTTAAAGCTATCAATCTATTGTACATATTTTACATACAGTGAGAATTAGAAAACCTTGGAATATAAAGACGAAGAGTTTATGTACGTTGCAGTTCTTATTAAACCTCTAGTATTTACTTTATAAGGAATTTATAGGATCCATCAGGGTTCAGGTAAATTTAAAATTCGGTGATGGTGATGGACCAAACCTCTGTAGAGTAAAAATTATTGAAAATATATTTCAGTCTGGGTTGACCCTCGTCAGTTCTAACGATATAATAACCATCAAAATCGAAAAAAAAATGTTTGTTAAAAATCACAAGAAAATTAACAAACAAACAAGATTATTCAAAATAAAAATTTGGGCTGTCAAATGGACATGGATTATCAGATGGAAAAAAAGATAATTTGTAAATATTCACTTTTTAAAAAAGTGTTTTAAGACAATTATTATTTTTTGAGATTGTTTCTGTAACAAAGGTTAAAAACAAACTGTTTAGATGTATGTGAATAAAGTGGTGGTGGGGGTCGAACTAATTACCGAACCGAAATCGGGGGGACGGCTTAAGTTCCGAATAGCATTTGAAAATTACAAAAAATATTTTGAAATTATTAACAGAATGATGGATGTAACAAATTTTGTTATTCCTAATAATATCTTCGTAATTTCGAAGAATATGTTATTATCTCAAAATTCTTTTAATAATCTGATCTTTTGAACTTGAATTAAGTTCTACACAATCTTCAGCTACCCTTTACAACAAAAAAGGATAAAACATCAGAGACGAGTGTACGGAATTTGAACTTACTTCATTTAATAAACCTTTAAAAGAATATATTCTAGACAGAAGACTTAATCTAATCTGAGGATACAGAGCATCTCGTATATAATATTAGATTACCACCAAGCTTTAACGCCAAAATAGGCACATATTACTCGAAAAACTTAAGTGTGTTTTTTCAAGACCCATGAAACTGTGAAATATAATGACGACTTTTAGACTCAAGTTATGAATTGCAACATTTAATAAGAAATTGTGCAGTGTACAAACTACACAAAACTTTTTACTTAAAATTTGATTTGAAGCTACTGGTTAACCTACATTGCTTTAAACCATCCTCAATTCAAATACACAAAGATTGCTTAAATGTCCATAGTTTTATGAGTTTCCCTCTATATGAAGTTGGAATCACAGTATGTGTATTTATTAAGTGGGTATCTCATTATGTGTACTTTTAAAGTGTGTATCTCATTATGTGTATTTGTAAAGTGGGTATCTCATTATGTGTATTTGTAGAGTTGGTATCTCAGTATGTGTATTTTTTAAGTGTGTATCTCATTATGTGTATTTGTAAAGTGGGTATCTCATTATGTGTATTTGTAAAGTGAGTATCTCAGATGTGTATTTGTAAAGTTGGTATCTCAGTATGTGTATTTGTAAAGTGAGTATCTCAGTATGTGTATTTGTAAAGTGAGTATCTCAGTATGTGTATTTGTAAAGTGAGTATATCAGTATGTGTATTTTTAAAGTGGGTATCTCATTATGTGTATTTGTAAAGTTTGTATCTCAGTATGTGTATTTTTAAAGTGTGTATCTCATTATGTGTATTTGTAAAGTTTGTATCTCAGTATGTGTTTATCTCATTATGTGTATTTGTAAAGTGAGTATCTCAGTATGTGTATTTGTAAAGTGATTATCTCAGCATGTGTATTTATTAATGGGTATCTCATTATGTGTATTTGTAAAGTGAGTATCTCAGTATGTGTATTTGTAAAGTGAGTATCTCAGTATGTGTATTTGTAAAGTGGGTATCTCAGTATGTGTATTTGTAAAGTGAGTATCTCAGTATGTGTATTTTTAAAGTGTGTATCTCATTATTTGTATTTGTAAAGTTGGTATCTCAGTACGTGTGTTTGTAAAGTGGGTATCTCATTATGTGTATTTGTAGAGTTGGTATCTCATTATGTGTATTTGTAAAGTGAGTATCTCAGTATGTGTATTTGTAAAGTTGGTATCTCAGTATGTGTATTTGTAAAGTGAGTATCTCAGTATGTGTATTCGTAAAGTGAGTATCTCAGTATGTGTATTTGTAAAGTGGGTATCTCATTATGTGTATTTGTAAAGTTGGTATCTCAGTATGTGTTTTTTTAAAGTGTGTATCTCATTATGTGTATTTGTAAAGTTTGTATCTCAGTATGTGTGTTTGTAAAGTGGGTATCTCAGTATGTGTATTTGTAAAGTTGGTACCTCATTATGTGTATTTGTAAAGTGGGTATCTCATTATGTGTATTTGTAAAGTTGGTATCTCAGTATGTGTATTTGTAAAGTTGGTATCTCAGTATGTGTAGTAAAGTGAGTATATTAGTATGTGTATTTGTAAAGTGATTATCTCAGTATGTGTATTTGTAAAGTGTGTATATCAGTATGTGTATTTGTAACGTGATTATCTCAGCATGTGTATTTGTAAAGTGTGTATCTCAGTATGTGTATCTGTGTAATATTAGAAAGTTAATATTTATGAAATCATGGAAACAATATTGTGTTGGTATAGTAGTGGTTGTGTAGGTAGGTAGGAAGGTTGGTTGGATTGTAGGTAGGTAGGTTGGTAGGTTGGTTGGTTGGTTGGTAGGGGGATCTCTGTGATTTAAGCTTTCCATAGACATATAGACACTTTAACCAAGGCCTCAGTCAAACCACCATCTTCTTCTTCTATATCTATATCTATGTATATTCTTTGCTTGTTTGTCTGGGTGTCTGTCTGTTTGTTTGTTTTTATCCAAGAAACGGCTGAACCGATCAGGCCCAGTTTTTTTGTCGGACCTCGTGTGACCCCAAGGAAGGTTTTTGTATGATCGAATTTTCAGAAATTTGCCTCCATCAAAATTCTATTTTTGAACATTTTGAAAATCCGCGATATTTTTTTTGTTTTTGTTTTACAATGTACACAAAGAGAAGATGTTCACAATTGATATAGAAGATGGACATGAAGCGCCCTAAAAGCCTAGTATACATATGCTTTGCTTGTCTGTTTGTTTATTTGTTTTAATCCTATAAATGTCAAAACGGCTAAACCGATCCGGCCAATATTTTTGTGGGGCCTCATATATAAACCCAGGGAATGTTTATGAATGTTAAGAATTAAAAAATTTATCTCCAAAAAATTTAATTTTCATAAATTTTGAAAAACCAGGAATAAAAAATTGCAAATTCGCCAATTTTTTTGTTATTGTATTATTTAAGAGAAAGTGCTGATAGATTGAGCATCAATTAAAATTTGAATCAGAAGTTGGGAACGAAGCGCACCATGATATTCTAGTTATACAAAACTTTGTTTTTATTGAATTTTAATTTTTCTGCAGCGCTAAAGAAGAGAAAACATATTTTATTTAAAGTGACCCCAAAATTGAAGAGTTGTATGCCCAAAATAATTGCCAGAATTCTGATAATAACTTTGCCTTTCTTTTTGTTTTTGAGCACTGTTAATTAGTAATCTATATAAGAAAACAAGACATTTGTATATATATATATATATGTTGTCTTTAGCCGACCAAACGGCTGGGCCGATTGGACTGAAATTTGTTGTGGACACTCATGGGTGGCCGGGGGGTGATTTTTTTCAAGTTTTTTGTCACGGGCATCGCCGGGCCCTTCAGCTAGTTGTTTATAAAATTTTAATCTGCTAAGCGTTGTATTTGTTGTATAAACACAAATTCTGAAAGACAAACTGAAAGTTTTTATTTGCGGTTTTTGTTAGAAATCGTTGCTTTTTTAATCTTTGAAAAAACGTTATAATTATTCTTCATGTTTTAGAAGGAAAATGTTTTTATTTGGCTAGTGAAGGAGGGGAACAGAAAACTACGCAATGAGTTCAAATAAATTTTATATTTTAATTCTTTGTGTTTTCCTGGCTAGCTTTATACCTACGGGAGAGACAGGTAGATGAGAATACAGTGGAACATATAGAACTCTGGCTTAGGAAGACGACGTTTAAGCAAACTTTTTTGCATTTGTTTTTGTTAAAAAGCAAATAGGTTTACCACTAGCTTACAAACTTGTAAAAGTAATATATGGGTCTGTTTTCACTGCACAGTTCAGATGTTTTATGTTCATTGGATCATTTAAAATAATAAATTGAGTTTGCGGTCGTCTTCCTATTCCATCATTTTATTGATCCTACTGTAGTTTTTAAAAATAAATTTTAAATCTATATTTCTTTAATGATTATCACCGAATGCTGTAAAAAGGTATAGATATAAAAAACACAAAATATTTAAAACAAAATAAAACATTATTATTTTAAACTTGAATTATATCTTATACTTTAAACATTTCCTCATTCAATCATTGATATTGGTTCTGCTTATTATCAGCTTAGGATGTAATTTTGTAGTTTGAATTCCTACTTTGCCTACCTGCAGCAAAAATGCGCAAGTCACTCATTTGATTTATAGTTATAACGGAAAATCATCGTTTGTAAAGTGAAAGGCATATGAGTCTATGTTTAAATGATCATTGGTCAATTATGAAACAGTCTATTTCATAATTTAGTTTTCTTTTAACATTATTTTTTTCTAGTAAATTCCCCTCTAATATATATTCTATTCTCTTTGGTAAAAAGTGTCATTACTGTCTTTTTCTTTTAACTTAAAGGGATGTTTACAACATGACCCTCTATGTATAAATGACAATTACCGTTTAACAATAACATTCCCCTAAAGAGCTTTGTCTGGTAAAGTATCAATTAGATATCAATGTTTATCATTTGGGCAACTGATCATTTTTAACTGTGGTTTCAGGAATCATCAGATTTGAAAAGTTTTCAAGTTTGAAAAACGAGAAATCGTTGATGAGATAATTTTGTTCTAAGGTTATCTTTGTGAATTGGGCAATGCCATCTTTGCAAGAATGGTCACTTGAAATTAGGCTTACAAAGTTACAGTACCTTTAATATTGTAATTTTAAGGAGGTATAAAGTGTCATTACTGTGGCAGATCTAATATCTGCAAGCTACCCTATGATTCCGATCCCGAAGAAGCAGATTTTATAACCTGCGAGAAATCATGCATGAAGTTTGACGGGTAAGTGTAATAGATAGATTAATAACAATACAGATAGAACACTAGATGAAGTCTTTTCAAGATTTAGGGGTTTTTCGAATTGTATTACATCCGACCAACGTTATATCCGTCCTACAATACTTCGGACCTACCCAAACGTAGTTTTTAAACAGCTTCAAGCTGCTGTTAGTCCAAATGCACTGTATAGTCGGATACGCACCTCATTGAAAAAAGCACAATATTTGTAGGCTGGATGCACAACTTTAGTAGGTCGGATGCACAACATTAGTAGGTCGGATGCACAACATTAGTAGGTTGGATGCACAACTTTAGTAAGTCGAATGCACAACTTTAGTAGGTCGGATGCACAACTTTAGTAGGTCGGATGCACAACTTTAGTAGGTCGGATGCACAACTTTTGTAGGTCAGATGCACAAATTTATAGGTCGGATGCATAACATTTGTAGGTCGGATGCACAACTTATAGTAGGTCGGATGCACAACTTTGGTAGGTCGGATGCACGACTTTAGTAGGTCGAATGCACAACTTTGGTAGGTCGGATGCACAACTTTTTAGGTCTTTTTTCGACCTTTCGTTCAATTAAAATCGTATTTTTTTCGCAAAAATTTTCAACAACCTATTTTCGCGAAATAATAACTTTATTTTACTAACATTTTTGATAGAAATTACGATTTTTTTAATTTTCGTTTTTTTGTTTAAGAACTGTTGAAGTCAAAGTTGACAACTAAATTTGCTGATTTTAACATCCCTTACACATAGCAGTCGTTGCAGAAATATTTAAAGAAAATTTAACTCACATTTTATTTACCAAAGATTCACATCAAACATGATACTCAGTCATTTCAAGATAGGAAAGCCAACTTCAATCTTCAGATCTTCATATTTAACCCTATCAAGGCTGGGCAATATTTGTCTAATATATGCTGAGGGGGGGGGGAGTGTTCCCCCCTTTGATTTGCCCTTACGAGTTGAAATATAGTGGAGTGTGATACATGTCCTTAGTCCAACTTTTCAAGGCATGCTCATTAAAAAAAGACCTCTAATCTTAATGGTTGGGTTGCAAGGGGTTATTTTAAATAAAAATTAAAAGTAAGTCGGAAAAATGTTCAAAAATAATTATTTTTAATTTTGAAAAATATTTAACACATTATATTACATTTTCAAGGGCTTTTCAAATATATAAATTTTTGCCCTGCAGCTTAAATAATAAAAAAAGTTTTTGTGCATTTCTGATTTTTTTGAAACACTGCACTGACACCTCGTTTGACTGTCCTCCACCCCATTCATGATGTTGAAAAAGTGAAGAAGTGTCAGCGTTATAATGCAAGCCGTTTTTAAGTTATTTAGAAAAAAACCACAGTGGGGGGTGGAAAACACCCCCCCCCCTCAGCCGTGATAGGTTTAAAGATTTGCAGCTAGGTTTTCATTAAAGTATCTTCCTTTGTGCGTTGTATATTCAAGATCCAACAATAACAGGATACACTTAAAAGATGTTAATATAGAAATGCAGAAAAACACTGATAAACAAATCAATTCATTTTATAAATTTTCATACATACGATTTTTAAATCAATAAAGTGAGAAATTTCTGTTTTCCTCAGATTATTTGAAATTGGGCAACACTTTATTTTTATCGAACAAAAATTGAATAAAAATTTCGCGAAAATGGAAGAAATTTTCGCGAAAATAAGGTCGAAAATACATAGAAATTCGCGAAAATTTTGAACGAGCTGAACGAATTTTGTTTTGTTTGTTCATTTTCGCGAATTTCGTTGGAAACCATATTGAATTTAACAAATTAACAATATTTTTTACATATTTTAATTATCTTTTGCCAACATTATGCTCGTTCTTTGACTATCTTAGTTAATTGGACTGTCGGGATTATTATATTTTAATTAAGGTACAATGCTGATGGAGGTAGGGTGGTTGTCAGAGATTGTGGAATATATGAAGCATCAGAGTGTCAAGCAGGTTTTTTAAAAAATGCCAAACAATATTATTTTAGTATTTTTTATGTGAAAATTTATTCATTGACAACCTCAACTAATCAATCAATTAATTTTCAATCAATTAAATGATCAATGATGAAATCAACTCAATATTCATTTATTCAATCAATTAATCAATAAATCAAGCATTTAGTCATGAATTAAGTCAGTTAATTTACATATAAATAACTAAAATTAATGAGATAACTAATAAATCAAATAACAAGTTTATTAATAAATCAATTAATCAGTTGATTAATAAATTAATCGATTAATCAATCAATGAATTAGTCAATCAATCATTCAATAAATCAATTATTTGTAGATGCACAGTATGCTACGACAGAAGCAACTGGTACCCTGTGCCACTGTCTTCTAGATCAATGTAACAGTGTTAATGGATTGATTCCATCTTTACTCACCTCATTCTTTATGGCGCTAGTAGGCAGAATTATTTACTAAACGTGTACTGAATACCTCGGTTATGGGGTTCATGGTAACATGACTCAGTTNGGGAAAATTAGTTTTGTTTGGATAAAAAAATTGTGCTTTGTCATGCTTTAAGCTTTTTTCCCTTTTTTCCAGAGGGTAGCTTGCAGCCAAGATCTTTTTATAAGTTGATTTGGGGACTTAGTTGATTTTTTAACTCAAATTCAATAAGATTTGTGTCTCTTGAAAGTCCCTTTTGATGTGAACTTCGGATATCTTCAAAAAAGTGACATATCTAAAATAATTGAATAATTGTAAAATATATGACAAATGTTTCCTTAAAACTGTATTCACATAAGAGGACCAACATTAAATTACACAATTGTGTCTGAATTGTATTTATGAGAGTGGCTTTTTTCATGTAGCATTTACAAATATTATTGTTTTAATGGATTATATGAAATATATTATATTTATAAATATGTTCTTCTGTATTTATGTAAAAATAATATTAGACAAACATCAGACTTTAATTATTTACCAACATTATGACAATTTAAGCTATAGAATATGTAAACAGAAAATTTTAAAATATATGATTTCATTTTTTCTTTAGATTATAGCCGACATATTCATGTTTATTTTTATAAATATTCAATTTCAAACAAGATGAGTTTTTGCCACTAATTCAAACCTATTTATCTTTGAAACCTGATGGTTTAGACCTTTGATATTTCATTCTATAAGAATTCATAGTTTAAAATGTCCATGACACCGAGTTGCAAAAGGTATAAGGATTTCAAAATCAGGGGGTTGTAGCAAGAATAATTTCCTTTCTAAACGATAAATAAAACATCAAGAGTTTTGAGAAACAATTATGTTGAATATTTTTTAACTATCCCTGTAATCTAATCTAGTACTCATTAAACTTTTATATGCACAATCTGGCGCAAAATAAAATAAATTTTGCTAAATAAAAATCTTTCTGAACTGAAACTATAGAATCATCTTTGAAATGTTAATTTCCAGGCTACAAAAAAAGTAAGTTGGTAGGTTTAAACCAAGTAATATTTCAAGATCGTTGCATAGCTTTCAAAATTCATCAATGAAAACAATAACATCTGCATAAACATTATTCTAAACATTCAATATTTTATTCTAAAGCATATATCTTATAGTCGTAAACCTGTATTCCACTGTATTTTGAGGACCCCTGTACTGTATGTAACGTTATATTGTGTGATAAAAAGACATTTTTAATTATCCACGATGAAACATCACAAGTGTGTTTTGCTGAATCTAAGAGATAGAAAAACATTTTGATTTCCAGGTAAAGGTTCTTTACACGATGTTTTGGAAAATTTAAATTAATAAATAAGGAATATTCTTGAAAAAAGTAAAGATTGAGATTTAGGAAAGCTCTTTACAGGATACACTTTGTGATGTACACCCAGCCAGATGGGGTTCTGAATTGAAATGGGTGTCAAAGGCATTTTATGATTAAATATGAAAATTATTATCTACAGGGTTATATACAAAGGATGAGATTGTACAGACAACCAAAAATATGACGATTTAAAAACCTGATTTTTGGTTTCTGCATTTAGTTGAGTATTTTGATTGTTTAGTAAATGATTTTACAGAAACAAGCCAGCAAGGTGCAAGAAAACGGATAAAATAAATTCCGTACAATCGTCTCTGAAGTCTCATCCTTTGTGGGTAACCCTAAACCCTTCACTTTCTTAAAGGGAGTGTTCGCAAAAAATGAAAGGGGGTATAGGCTTAATGCGATAAAAAAGCGCTTTTGATCGCTACTTTTTTTTAAAATTAAAAAGCTGACTTTAATCCGTTTTTAATACTATTCTTTAAGTTTTAAAACACTCTGTAAAAACGTCGTAATAACATTTTCAATGCACGGGTTTTAACCGGGTTCAGGTTTTAATTTAACAGACTTTTCTCCTGATTTAACTCTGCTTTGTGGTTGTTGGGTGAACACCTATTCTAGCTTTGCAGCCCGACATTGTAGACCTTTGATATTTCAAACTATTAAGGAATTGAATCTTTGCCACAAACTCTATTTTTCTAATCTCTATATCTTTGCAACCAAATGTTTCAGGCCTTAGATATTTCAAACTATGACTATTAGTTATAGATCAAATAATCTAAGTTCGAAATATCGAATGTCTACACAATCAGCTTGCAAAAATATAGGGATTAGAAAATTAGAGTTTGGAATAAATAGTCTAAGTTTAAAATATCAAAGGTTTCCACCATCAGGTTGAAAAGGAATTAGAATAGTTTTCAATTTTCAATATTTTGTAAATTTGATGTAAATATTTCTTTACATCTATTCAATTCCATTACTTTGAAGCAGATATTTTCATTAATTCATTATATTCTATTATATATCTCTGTACCAGTTATAACAGTCAATTCTAATTGTTTTTTCCTGGTCGTAAAAAAATATAGTCTTTTTGAACAATATTAATTATTTAGATCATAGGCGTCGCATTTCGTTCGCTTGCGAACATTTTTCGTTTTTTTTTCTCTTTTTTTCGCTTCAATCTGTTTCGCGAAAAAATGCGAAATTAGTTCAACATATATTTTTCAACAAACTCTATTTTATAATTATCACATCTTTGCAACTGGATGGTGTAAAACTTTTATATTTCAAACAAAGACTATGACTGTCTATGTCTTTAGTTTTACATAAAGTAAATATTTATAAGAAAAATGTATACAATTTTTTGGCAACAAACTCGAGCATTCAACTATTTGTCGCACATAGTTGTAGTTAGCTAATATCATTGAGACATCTGCAAACAAAAGGGTAACTATTCTAAACGATGGTTTAGAGTAAACTTGGATTTCACATTAACTTCAAAGAAAGGTAACCGTTAATATGATTATTATTCTAGCATTTAAGTTTTTAATGTCATTTATGAACATTATAAAATACTGAATTAATATAAAGGACAATTCACGAAAATCCTTCATTTGAATACCTTACGTTTTTGGATTCGGATATTCTAGTTTTTTTTTATATTTTATCAATTACTTTTTTATTCTAATATTTATTTAATCAAAGCTAAAACATTCTCATTAGATACATTTCAATTTTTTATTATTGTCAAAGAAAGGAATTGAGTTTTGATTACAAAATTCTTTATTATTGGCCTGGACGAAACTTTCAATGACATTTTATGATGAAAAACTAAATATGCAATCAAACTGAAACTTATCCTGTTATTAACCTTTCTATTATTCCAATTTGTTTAATTATCATTTTGAAAATTTTAAAAAACAAATTTTAATCCTTTCTGACAAAGAAAGTTTAAATTTGAAATAAAAATGTTAAACCTATTCAAATATAATTTTACTGATTAACTATAAACGTAAGTAAATGTACTTGCGTGAATATGTGCTATACAATCATCAGCATGCAAAGGATTAATTGCATGATAAAAATCTTATAAAGCCAGATTTTCAGTTTTTTAAATGATATTTGTGACATAACAGAAAATACTAATGACTGAAAACTGCCAAGAATGATACAATGTCTAAATCATGCTATACACCAGCTGTTAAGCAATTCAATAGAATTCCAAAGCTGACAACTTTAGAATGAGATATCCTTAATCACGATCGCTTAATCTGATTATCCAATGTACACACTTTTGATTTTCTTCTTATAATCCTCTATTTGGATATTTCTACTGTATAAAAGTTACGTTTATAACAATTACAGATACAATGCTATATCGATTGGACTAATATCCGATTGAATTAAAGTCAGCTGTTCACAAGCCGACTTTTAGAGCATTTAAAAAAATATGAATTTAATCATGTTAATATGAAATTATTTTAAAAAACATATTTTAGGACTATTGTCATTTTGAACGTTAGTCTTAAAAACATTATTCCAAAACTTACGTTCGTTCTTCAATCGATGTTTAGTTCAATTCATAAGACATCATCAACACAAGAAATCAAAACCGGGTTTTCAAAAGTTAAAAAGTACATATTAACATGACACTTTGATTGGTTAAAATTTTAACTATTTCTTGGATATCGAATGCGTTTTAAAATAATCTTGGGTTTAGTAAAATCAGGAGTTCATTAATCTTGATTTCCACCATTCTAAAGTTTTCAACTCAGTGCGCGCATATAGATACACTAAATTGCAATAGGATTAACTCACGAATTTTCACTAAAACTAATCTAGTACTTAAATGGATATATTGTTATGTTTAAACGCAGAATTTTGATATTGGACAATTATTTTGTTTCATCCTTTCCATTTTCAAAACTTTTCTGAAACCCCGGTCATAAGATTTTGGAAAGAGATTCTTTTTATAAAAATTCATGAACAATTTGCCCACTACAGTCCGATATTTGGAATGCTGTCTTAAACAAGCTTGAACAAAAGAATTAAGTTTTTGCCACAAACTCTGATTTTCTAATCTCTATATCTTTGCCACACTATGTCGTAAACCTTAGATATTTCAAACTTTGAATTCTGTTAGATCAAATAATATAAGTTTGAAATATAATAGGAATTACAAAGGTATAAGGATTACAAAATTTGAGTTTGTGGCAAATCTACTGTTTTTCGATTGACAACGAAACTTAATTGCACTTTTGATTAGTATTTCCCTGCAGTGATTTAAACCACAAACAGTGTCCGAATTTAATGAATTTAAGCCGCGTTTCAAATCCCCCAAAAACAAATTCAATTGAGCGCCGGCTTATGTATTGAAAAAATTAATACAAATTTAAGTGGAACCGTCATAATTTGAGCCGCGGCTTAAATTTAAGCCGCGGCTCAAATTCTTTAAATTCGGCCTCAGGGTCTAGTTTATTATGATCATGTACGTGCTACTACCACACAAGGTATCGCATTCTTTTTTTAAACCTGCTTTTTGCTATGCAACAATTTTATTTAATCCCACTTAAATAAAAGTTTTTTAGTGCAGGTCCATGTTAAACCAGCTGTGCACAAAGAAATGTCAATTATACTATTTTCAGTTTCGTCTACTTAAAAAACAAGAAATACTTATTTATACATACTAGGATT